CTTTTTCCTCTCAGTTCTCCAGCACGCCATTTTCTACCTGTATGAACTTTCTCTTTGGCCAATTCTCCTTTTTTAAATACTTCAGGTGGAAAAAACTCTTCCAAACCTTCGTAATCCACGAAGACAGGATCTCATGTGTAATTCTGCAGACAGTACTGTTTCGGCCTTCTGGGCCTCACCAGTGCAGTGCTGATGCTAGGATGGGGGAGAATCGAGACTGTCACCCCAAACGACCCAACCTTTGTGGTATCGTCTAAGCCATTGTCGACTTTCATATCGTGAGAGACTGGGGCGAATTTTGCCAACGCCGGACAAAATTGCCGGGAAAGTTAAAAGTTATTCTGTGTATATAAGAGCGGGAAGTTTCGTATCCGAAGAAAACTTATGTTTGCAGACATGAATACCTCCAAGAAAGTTGAATCAAAGGGGCCAGATAGTTTAGCAGTGAAATTGAAGTACACTAATTTAGCTGAATGGAGCGTAGGAGATTTAAAATCTGTGTTGACAGAGATGAAACTGAAGGTTGCCGGAACGAAGAAGGAACTTCTCGATCGGCTGCTTGCGTTTGCCAGTGACAACAATCTGTTAGAAAAGAAACTTAAAGGGGTAAAAAAGATTTATGTTTTTCAAAACAAGTATGGATCCAACTAAAATACCTCCACCTTCGTCTGTATGGAGTACAGACCAATCGCTTTTTCCCCTAGTAGACGCGACAACCACAAGTCAATACACTGGATTCAAGAGACAAGGTCGCAAAGGATAATATCGCAAGGCCCAGAGAATCTTTAACTCGTGGAAGATAAAGACAGTTAAAGTTCATGAGAATGGAGAAGTTACTTTTGTAAAGGCGATGATCCTTCTCGAAACAACACATTGCGTGACACTGACCTTCGCGAACTTTCTAGACAATTCCGATCCTTGTAACACACAGTTCACCAAAAAGATCGGACTCAAATGCTAATGTATGAACACCAACAGAAAGAGTTTAAGCATTTGCTAGATTTAATACAAGACACAAAGGAATCCAAAATAACAGTATCACTGCCAAGGTACAACAAGTTAGAACCCAGTGGATTCAACTATGTCTCAGTCAAACAAGGATCAACACAATGGCATGCTTTGAGAGTAGGAATTATAACTGCTAGCAAGACTCCCTATCTGTTGGGTTTTCATGGTCAAAAGGAGTTTGAGCATGCATGGTTCTGTGTTCATAATAAAATTGATGAAAACAAAGTTTCACCAAAGAAATTCAAGAACTTTACTAGAGGGATACAATTTGAAGAACAAGCAGTGAAGTTGTTTGAAGAAATTTCAGGTTCGTAAACTTTTTTAAGTGAATGCAATAAATTAAAGACAGTAGCAGATCAAGGGGTGTCCGGGGAGGCATGCCATCCCCCCTGCCCCCCCCCCCCCTCAAAAAGAATGAGACCCACCGGGCCAAGATACTTTGTTAGTGCTTTTGTCAGCCATTTAACCCATAGGAGAAACTGAATACAAGACAAATGACAATATGAAAGAATATCAGTAATTTTCATGAATCCAGAGTAATAAGGAATGCTTACATTGCAGGTGCTCCAGTGAGAATAAGTGGCTTTTTCTTTCATCCTACTGATTGAAGGTATGGAGCAAGTCCAGATGGCATTGGGCAAACTCTTTTGCTTGAAGTGAAAACCAGAGCTCTCAACAGTCTTGTGCCCTTAGACAATGTTACTGGTCCCCATATCCTTCAGTCTAACTTCCAGGTGGCTTGTACCGATGTAAACATTACCTTTCTAGAATCTTATCTTTCTGAGAAAAACATAGCTAATGTGTTTTTTTTTTTTTTTCAAACGTGACAACCTTGTGATTGATGTTTGTAAGGACATGCTTGACCACATTTTGGAGAAGAAAATTGTTACATACTGGCCACATGAGGAACACAATCTTCTGAAAAACTTGGTAAGCAGGTACTTGGACAAGTGCCAACATTTGAAAGTTTGAGGCCACTCTGATCAGGGACTAATGCAATGTCAAAAACTGTCAAACAAGTTATTTTTCACAAAGAGTAACACATAACAATGCCAGGGATTGAACTGATCATTTAAACATCTAGACTGCATTTTACAAAAGCATGGCCATGTTTAGAATCAAATTGTCAACCAGAACAGTAGCAATATCAATATTGCCAGTGTTGTAAACAAAAGCCATGCTTAATGGACTTAAAAATGATTCACTACTTTACATTTAGCTGCTAAATACATGTATGATTCATTCAAGTCAGATCATCTCAGTTCTTTGTATTAATTACATACAGATTTCTGAACAATCCCTTTTGGGCCAACAGGACTTTTCAAGGTGTTTACAACATGCACAAAGATTTTAAAGTAGTAACCTAGTATATCAATTCGATTCGTGGGCCAACAGGTATTCAAGATGGTCCAGTCTCTCATTCGTCCAATGAAATTTTCGTTGTATATCTTCAGTGTTGCAATGTCAACATTTTTGCTGATGTCATACTGGGAATGAAACTTTAACGGAGGGCGATTATGTAGTAGTCCCTTATGGTGGCACAGGTTTGCAATGTCAAATCCTTTGTCAGTTAGAATGATTTTTCCTTTGTTCACTTTGTCAAGCACTTCATCGTTCAGTGATGTCTTTATCAGATATTGTTCCAGGGTAAGTGTCACTGCAATGGAGAAGACCACTATGGGGATAAATCCAAACAGATGTCTTCCCAGTCGTGTGGTTTTTATATGAGCTGAAGGTGATATTATTTTTATCATAATTCTCTGACTGAGTTATCCAAGTTTCTGTCGCATCTCCTAGAGCCTCTGTTTCCACATAACCAGCATCATAAAATTCCTGTGGAAGGTATGACAAACCCAGGTAATGGTTTGAGATCAAGACATTCAAATACTGTTGATAAGAATATAGCCCATCCAGTAAAGGCTTTAGAAATTGTTGGCACACTTGTTTGCACCATCCTAGCCATAATACCGAGGTGTAGTGAGTGTCTACAAACTGTAATTAAAGCCACGAGTTCAGTATTTGTGTCTAACTTCCTGCTCTTTGTCTCAAGACCTCTACCTTTGCAATCAGGGTATCTGAACTCTTAGTTAAACAAGACGAAGAAAAATTCCTTCACAGCGTTCAATTGAAAGCCTTTTTTTCATTACAAAGAGGATGATTCTAACACCTCGAACACAGTGCCAGTCTCTGGATCGTTTTGAAGTAGTTTAAAGGTTTTAAGAATAATGGATTTGACTGAGTGGCTGTGAGGGTGAAACGTGAGAGTGAACGGAATGCGGTCGGAATTTTCCTTCTTTGACGTTTGTAGTCTAGCAGTCGATCAATAAGTTGGGCACGGTGGTGACCCGCTTTACCAATCCGGAAAATCTTTTACTTTCCGATTTAGAAAAATCCCTCCTCAGCAGGGGCTTAAATTTTTTTCCCATTTCTAAAACAACGGACGAATCCTTAGTTCAACAAGACGTAGAAATATTCCTTCACAGCGTTCAATTGAAATCCTTTTTTCATTACAAAGAGGATGATTCTAACACCTCGAACACAGACACATTCGAAACACATCAGATTCAAAAGTCTAAATGGACTTCCCCAGAGGGCCAGTTTGGATCATTAGATTTTTTCATCAAAAAGTATTGTAACGATATTGACAAACAAATTTAATCGAGATACGAAATTTTCCAATCTTTCTTCTGAAGAGTGGTAGGTGCTTAAAAGCCTAAAAAAAAACCAAAGACATTTTTATCAAAGCGGCCGATAAGGGCGGTGCGGTAGTTGTTTGGCGGACCGACCTCTGTTAAAAAGAAGCTTCGCGACAACTCTGTGATACCTCTTTTTATCAAAAGGTTGACAAAGATCTCACTTTTATTAGTCAAAACATTGTCAAAAATACAATTAACGAACTCATAGCTAAACAGGAACTGCCAGCCACTGCAAAAGATCTTAAAATTCTCAAACCTAACAACCTGGTCGGCCCATCGTCTCGGCCCACAGTTGTCTTAACGAACTTATTTCCAGCTATTTAGACAAAATTATGGCTCCATCGACAAAACTTTACTATCATACATTAAAGACAGCCCACATGCTCTTCAAATTTTTTGCGACTTTAATTTCCTTGGCCAAAACAAACCTCTTTTCACTATGGATATAACGTCATTCCCAATGGCGAAGGTCTTCTGGCCCTAGAGAATTTGTTTCTTTTTTATCAACGCACTCTTAAGGAACCTAGATCTGAAACACTACTTCACCTAGCCGAACTAATGCTTACACTCAATTGTGTTTCATTCGAGGACAATTTTCTCAAACAAACTAATGATGTAGCCACGGATACCAAAATGGGACCCAGTTATGCTACTCTTTTTGTAGGTTTTGTCGCACATCAATTTTTCAGCCAATACAACGGCCCCAAACCCACGGTCGTTACATTGACGATCATATCGGCGCTATTAAGAATTTCATTCCTTTTTCTCAGTTTCTAAGACTTCGTTGCTTATGTAGTGATTACTCTGATTTTTTCGACAAATCAGAGTCATTGTGCCGGTTTTTCTAAAAACGAGGCTACCCAGTTTTAGTCGTTAAAGCGGGCCACCTCTGCGGCCAACTTATTGATCGACAGAAACGTTACAGAAGGAAAATTCCGACCGCAATCCGTTCACTCTCACATTCCGCCCTCATAACCACTCAATTAAATCCATTATTCTTAAAAGCTTTTAAATTACTTCAAAACGATCCAGAGACTGGTACTACCTTTTCGCAACGTCCACTTATTTCATTCAAACGTGACAAAAACATAGGAAACTTTTTGGTCAGAAATTTATTCCAAACTAATGACCAACCTGGCAATTTTAAATGCGCTCGTTCACGGTACAGAGCTTGTCCCTTCATTCACAACCTGAAAAAATATCGGGACCCAAACGATCCATTGAAAATTACTGATCACTTCACGTGCACCTTTGCCAATGTCATCCATTGCATAACTTGCACTTATTGTAAAAAGATATACATCGGCGAAACAGGAAGACGACTAGGTGACCGATTCCGAGAACACTTTCACGACGTAGAGAGGAATGACAATGACGCATCAAAACCAGTCGCTAGACACTTTAATCTATCTTATCATTCTAGGCAGCATATGGAAATCAGCTTTTTAACTCTTCACGGTGGCCAATTTACAATTTCAACTTGGCTGATATAACTTAAAAAAATCTACCTTAACTACAACTTAATAAGCAAATGAAACTGAAAAATAAAATCTCAAGGAAAACAAAAAAACGGCAATAGAGCCAAGTATAGTAAACTATCTTAATTTTTATCAACGCGAACTTGAAGCAAATGACAACTTTTTCTCCCCAATATATTTTAGAAGTAGAGGAAGCTGTCTCATCATGAGTTGTGCTAAGTTCTCCATGCATTATCGAGTTGGGTATTCATCAAGACCTTCAGGGAAGAGAAAAATCAGATATAAGTACTGATGAGGGTCACTTATCCTTTTAAACTTTGACGTCAGTATGCAGATTCCCCATACTCTTCTCTATTCATTTTCATGAACCCTAGAAGGAGAATTTGTGCTTCAATCAGGAGCTGCACGCACCATTATTATTATTTTTTGTCACTTACCTTCACCAAAAGTTTGCATATTCCATCACTGAAATGGTCTTCGTTAACCGCGAAATCTAGGACGAAAACGAGGTCGAACGCCGTGTCTGAACGGTCTGTACAGTCTGTACGGTCTGTACGGTCTGTACGGTCTATACGGTCTGTACGGTCTGTACGGTCTGTACGATCTGAACCGGCGTTTATAGCGAAAAGGGTCAGCTGACTTTTTTATTGCTCCTACGTCGTCTGCGTCACTGATTTCGTCTCCATCATCGTCATTGTCGAATGCTCCTTCGTCAAACTCCTTATTTGCGGCTACCACGTTGTTTTCACTGAATGCAGGAAAAAAAATTGTTAAAGATAACCGTGAGCGAATTGGTTGTTTAAAAAGCTGGTTTAAATGGAGACCTGTATAATCTATAACATGGTCAGATCACAACACCGGGAGCTACGATCCCCACTCTCGGAGAGAAGTGTGTGGGTCCTTTAACTTCCCCCTGCTAATCAGTACAGAGAAGATGCAAGAAACGTCTTAAGTAATCAGAATAATTTTATCTTCCTCGACTTACCTTATAAGGATAGCCATATCCTTGTCCTCTGGGTCTTCCTTGTCGAACTCTCCATCGTTCTCTGTCATGTATTCTTCACTAAAAACATTTAAAATGCAAAACAAAACTATTGCCACTGCGACACAACAAAATAATTGTTCAAATGAGGCCGAGGATCGAATTACATTGTTATCACTATTTCCATGGCATTCTTTCAGAATCGTCAAATATAACTAAGCAAAGCAAATAATTCATTATAAAGTAACTTTTGATTAAATGATTTTTAAAAAGCAGGTTTTTAAAGAGTTAGTCCTCCAAATACGCAAAATGATTAAGTTACGTTGCTTTCGAAGGACATAGTGGTGAAAAATGGGAAGTAAAGATAAGTTCCCGACGCTTCCTCAATTAAAGATAAGTTCCCGACGCTTGCTCAATGAATTGTCATCGGTAGAATTTCCTGATCTCGTCACAATCTAGTATTCTATTCTTCTTCCTGGAGAAACAAGTGAAATTCCATAAATGTAGCACCGTTTTGAAGTCTATTTGGTTGCTCGATTTATTATTTCATTTATAGTTGTTTTTTTCTTTATCTAACTTACCCTTGGGATTTTTCTATTTCAAATTCGTCTGCCATTTTGGTCGACTCATTTTCAGTTTCTGCAACTGAAAAGCCAACAGCGAGTACAAAGCCAAATAAAGCCAAAACAACAGATGTCTTCATTTTGACTTCCCCGTAAGAACTTGACTTCTCCAATGAAGAAAGCTCCCAAAACCACTGCTTTTATGCAACCAAGTCTGGGTGATATTAAAATTGATTTTTCATTTAGATCCCTATATCACCCCATGTCTGATCATGGAATGCAGACCCTTGAAGATCTTTTTTTAAAAATAGACCAAAGAACGGCACTATTTATCCTAAAGGTAAAAATGTCAATGAACCCTCCAAAATGTTCGCCTGTCCTGTAATGATATCATAAGATAAAAAAATATAATTTGAGAATAGTTTATAGTTATAGATTTATAGTTTGATAATATTTCCTCTTTTAAATCCCCAATTATCTCCAAAGAATCTCTTTGAGGAAACAGATATCATTAAATTTAAGTTCATTGAAAATTCCATGAACACATATAATGCCCATATCAGTAGTTCTAGAGAAACCCTGCAAAATCTGTAAAAGAGAAGAACAGTCCAAATTGTTCCCAAGATATATATTGAAGGACCCTCTAAGATCCCCAAAGTTCTAAATATTTAAAGATCCCCAATTTCGATGGAAAAATAAACCAAGTCTGAACTAAATGTAATATTATTTTTCTTTGTAGGAGTTTAATAAGAAATGTATATTTACAAATTCTCAGAAACTTCTACCTGTCCAAAACAATACTGCATACGGGTCATATGGGAAGTGCAAATTCTAATATTGTTTTTGAAGCGAACGTCTTTCTTTAAGCGAGTGGGAGTATGTTTGTTTCACCGACAGGCAGATAAAATACTTCTTGATATCGTTCGTGAACTTTAAAACCACTGATTTTATGGGCATGGTATGTGTGAATTGAATCTATTTTAATGAAAGGAAATTGACGAAAGTGTTGCCATCTGCCAAAAAAAAAAAATTCATACAAATGTCTAGCCTTAGGAAAAGCTGTAATGGAAATGATAAAAAGTTATTTGCTTGAGTTTCAAGTTCTTTACAAATCAAAATTAAATCGTGAATAATTAAGTAAACAGAGATTCGCTGACAATTTCTTCTTCCTTATTGATGTTGGTGCTAAAGTGAAGTGCAATATTAAAAAAATCTCCGGGGAATTCAGTTCTCGCTTTAATTCACATCAAATCTGAAGTAAACGAATTTGGTTTATTGTCGTAGAGTCGTCGTTAAGATTTACTCCTGAGAACCTTTATTTGGGATAACCACTTTTTAAAAGTACGCAGACACCTAAAATGAGAACTCTATTTGCAAGAAAGATGTATTAATTGGATCCTGAAAATATACTGTAATTGATAATTGATTTAATATACCTGCAATTAAACCAATACAGGACTTATGATGTCAGAAGGTTACGGCTTGATATGGTTTATCACGTAGGTAAGGAACCCACGGTGCCGACTACGTGTTTTGCAGACAAATGCCCTTCGTATGATGCAAGATCCTCGCAAGAGATAGCGCTATTTATGCAATAGCGCTATCTACTATCTACAAATGCCCTTCGGTTAAACGAATTTGTTGAAATTTTTTCAAATTAAAAGAAAAAAATGTCTTTACTATGTTCATGTTTTATTTTATTAAAAAATAAAAGGCTTTTTTCAACATTTGAAATTCATGTTTGTGGAGGTATATATTGGCTAGACAATATTGTTTTAGTGTAACAATATTTCATTTCCTTAACAATCTGTCCAACTGCAAATTTTTCTTTCCTTCGATTGGTTATTGTCTATGATATATTTAAAGAGCCGCAAGATACATTGCGGGGAAGGTGGTTGGTCGTACGAATTTCACCATTTATTTTTTTGAAGTCTCTTTTTGTTGTTATGCTTGTTGTTGTTGTGCTTTTATTTTTGTTTGTAGTGCTCACTCGTTGTTAGCGACATTGACGCGAACGAAAAGTGGTCGTCCGATAAGGAAGGAGAGCCGCAATATCACATGGCTTGGTAAATCCACCTTAAAAACGGGGAATGAACGAAAGGAAGCTTTTAAATTTGGAGAGAAGACAAAAAGTGATTTCGCAGAGCCCCTGCTTCACGGCAGTTCGTTGGATAGTACAACAGAAAGTTTCACTCGTTCTCAGTACCTGAGTGAAAAGCCGTCGTATTACACGGCTGACCAGGTCAATTCAAAACTGAAAAGCATGGGATTTGGAAAGAAAACGAGCATAGAGGTTACAAAGGCCCTGCCACACAGCATTTCCGTGGACAGTCAAATCATCTCCTCTCTGACCGACGGACGGGGGAACGTTTACAATCGATCTCGAGCCTAATCCTGTGCAAGGTTTTCGAGTAACCTTTCACTCGCGGTTAGACAAATTTAGAGATACATTACTCTTAAATTTCATCTTGAAATCCCATATTCTTTATGCATATTTTGAACATTGCGAGTCTTATTGGACGTGGAGAGTGACGAATTTATTCGTAGAAGCCGTTGTGCTTTTCCTTTTACGAATCCTTTCTTCGCGTCTGATGAATGGTACGAATAAAAATTCATTGCAATGTCTTCGTCTCTTTGTAATGCGTTTGTCCGTCAAGGGTCGATTCACTGTTAAATCTCTCACTTTCGTACACTTTTGTGTTAAAGAATATAATTTCTGAGTCTGATATTTTAACCATGAATAGTGATTGTATCGTGGTACAAGTACAGAATCAAGATAATACTTTCTCTTGACAGAATGTCTGTCTTACAAATTCTTCTATTTTTGTCTCAGTGATAATACGTTATTCATATTGTTGCAATGCCATTGTGGTATTCTTTGCAGTTTCCGTTCGGTATGTGAGAAAAAGTATCGAGTTCCCGGGTAATAACAATAACAATGGCGCGCAAAGCACACTGGTTAAGAGTGGCCCATGAAAGACAGTCGCCAAAATAACGTCAGTGGCAATTTTGTCTTTCTTTATATAAACTAGACGCATAGTTGCGCGAACTCGGGCTTTCAATATCGCACATCTGGATTTATCTTCAGGGGACTGCCATCGTTACTGGCGTCAAGCAATTTCGTTATTGCCGGTCATGAATAAGTCTACTTGTGTTTATTTTTGTCTGCTGGAGTGTAATAAAAGTTGTTATGGTACTAGACAACAGTCAAAATAATATATTACCATATAGGAGTAGGTTCCAACCGATGCCAAAGGTTGAAATTCAAGGACTTTTCAATGACTTTGAAGGCGAAGTTTTTTAGCAAATCAAAGGACCACTTTTGGAAAGGTTTGCATAAGCAATTTTAAAATTATTTAATATTATCTCTCAGTTTTTCCATGAAAGTACTGTAATTTTCAACTTGAAAATTGCTAAGAAAAAAGCATTTCAAAAATCAAGGTCTAGTCCTCAAATTCAAGTACTTTCAAGGCCTTGAATTTTTTTTATTTTTAAATTCAAGCATTTTCAAGGATTTTCAAGGCTTTTACGAACCCTAAGTAGGTAATGTATTTGCCTTTAACTGCAAGGATAAGGGAATTTTTTATCTATTACTGGTACCGAGTCACAGTTTGTTGCCAAATGTTCACCCAAGGGAAGTTGTCAGAAATCAGTAGATTGAAGCAATATCACTGTTCAATAATTCATAGTGTTTTTAAAAGAAAATCTCTGAATATTGAATATTGCTGATGGCCACAACAAGAGAAGCAGTGCTATTTACAGTTTTAGTATATTAAACAAGGGGCATTTGACATTCATTAAATACCAACAGGGAATACACATATTTTGACCTCTTTGTGGGTTTCAAAATACGTCATACAAAAAACTGAAAATCACATCAAAACCCTCTGCATTCACTATTAGTTCTTACAAGATTTTCGAGAATTGATTTGCTGTCAAACGAATCAGACAATATTTCTTCACTGTAATCACTTTTTGGATCTAAACTCACCAGTTCCACAAACATCAACAGTTTTTGGCAAATCATCTGCTAGTAAATACTTGTTTAAAGATGAATTTTCATATAATCTTTTGCCACACTGGATAATATTAGAAAAGGTGTTTAAATTCCAATAACTGCATGATTTTATTATGGAGTAGCAGAGTGAATAGACAGCCACAGCACAACTCACCTTGAACTTTCTGGTTTCACAGGCATGACACTGAAAAAGGTACTATTTTGAATTTTACTAATTTTAACGCCTTTCAACTCAAATATATCATTTTTATGTATACTCTGAACATAATGTACTAAGCTATTCAGTGATGATACTTCAAGTAGCACAAAAGTAACTTAAGGAAAGCTCAGTTCTACCTTAAATAACCCGGCCTTGCATGATAATCAAATATTTTCAAGCCCATGTTACCTTTACAATAGATAGCAACTGCAGTACACCCCATTGTCAAGGCAAAATTGTTGATATTTTTGGATATAAGTGATTGAAAGGCTCCATCTAAGGAGGTATAGTACTGATATCCTTCTATTGTAGAGAGGCTGATAGTTTCGAAAGAAACTGTTTGGGGCTGCGTCGGTGGGAGTAACGAAATAATTTGGATATATCAACAAAGTTGAAATGGTAAATTGGCCACCGTAACTATTACAAAAGCTGACGTTTCGAGCTAACGCTAACACTCGAAGGGCTAACGCTCGAAACGTTAGCTTTTGTAATCGTTACGGTGGCCAATTTACCATTTCAACTTTGTTGATATATCCAAATTATTTCCTTCTATTGTAGCTTCTTGATGAATTAAAGTTCATAGTCAGTCTCGAACACATTTAAAAGTGTGGATATATCTGTGAACTTGAATTCGACTTATTTCCAATATTCATTATCGACACAAGATCATTAACAGAATTGATTCCTTGTTTGTTATTGTAAATCAAAGAGCATAAAATCATTGCAACACATTGTTGTCCTGAATTTTGTCCAAATACCAACTTATTAGCTTGGCTATGTGGTGCCATTATTGTTTTGCTAGGGTCAATGCAAAAATTAATTGGAGTAGGACCAATGTTTTTCTCTATATCCGAACTCAGTTGAAATTTACAATAGTTTGATGCGTGTGTCTTACCCTTATGAAGACACATGGGTCGATGACAAAAAAACATTGAGAAATACCGACTTGCTTTATGCTTCAATTTAATTATCCTCTGATATAACCTCACAGAATTCAAAAAATACTTCTCCTCATGTTGTGGAACTTTATTTAATCTCACCCTCTTCGTATTAAGCATACAAACATTCTCTGTAACTCTTCTAACCTTCACATAGCGACGTAGCCAAGAGGACTTCGGTACGCTTGGACGAATACACTCAAACAAATTCCTTCAGTTTTCTGCCTTTTCTTCTGCTACGTTTCAGAGTAGCTTCTGGTATTCTACTGGTTCTCGATCACGTATAAATACACGGCTGTATTTACATGTAAACATAATATGACATGACGCGTTTGATATAGTACGTTTCGCTCGATATTCCTCGATAGAGGGCTCACTCGTTAAGTATCGCTCGTAAATTGATCTCTCGTAAAGTTCGCGGACCCACCTGTTTCCAAAACGCTCCACGAGTTTTTGTGTGGGTCTACCGCGAACTGTGTGTCACTTTGTATGTATATTGAGCGTAATAGCCATCGAATTTCTTTCGCGTACATAAAGCAATGAATTGTCCACGAAGGCAGCCATTGCTTAAAACCATGCGCTGTTGGGTTCATTCTACGCATGCGGTTACACTTCACGCATGCGCTGTAGCAGAACTGCGTATTGTGACTGCGCGCAAAAAAAAACAAAACAAACAAACAAAAAATTAAGCCGAACTTTTAACTCGGGCGTTTCCTTCGGAAATCCCTAGTAATAAATAAGCACTGAAGAAAGGAGATTCTATAGGAAATTGCTTGTCCATTTAGTGCTGGCAGATCACGTAATAACGTGTCACACTTGCCCACGATTTGTGTGTTCCACTTTTCTGCGCCAAACGTAATTGACGTTAATTGAGGTCTTAAAATAAACAGATACAAGGAAATAGGAAATCTAAATTTAAACTTCTCAACTTGTACGAAATAAATCCCTGATATTCATGAAAAAACACGTTGATGATCATGGAAAATGTATTTCGTTGAGAAGAGAACTGCAGCGAGAAAAATATAGCTTGCCTCATGAAAGACGTTTATAGCAGAGGAAAGATATGGTGTAGCGCTACGGAAAGATCTGAAGAAATTTTAGAAATATTATATATTTTACTGGGTGTAACTCGCTGATTCCAACGGTGAAATGCTCTCTCTTCGAAGAGAAATGTTTCTTAGGTTTCATGATGCACCAATCAGACTTATGACGACGATTCTGCAAGGAAAAGTTTTGTTTTTATTCACGCGTCGGTGAGAGGCCAGCGTGAAATGATTGTGAATGTGAGATGTTTACCGTGTTCTCCATTGTCGCGGTAAGAACTGAAAACATTATATCTTTGGTGTTGTTAGACACAAAATAATTTGTCTCAAAAGGCATTCGTAACAAATTTTTAACCTGTGCAAATCCTCCCATTTTTTAATCCCTACGCACCAGAAATTTTCTTACCTCCAGAATCCCAAAAAAGGGGCTATTCTTGTGAGGATATTCTTATTCTTACAGAGAGCTTGCCAATGATTTTAGAACGAGTTTAGGAAAACGGTGTTTTCGTTCTTGAAACTGCTTTTCGAAAATTTCTGAAACAGTTCAGCAATTTTGATGGACTAGAAACAGAGTTTAAGCAATATCATTGAAAACCAGATCATTAAAAGAGAAAATAGAAACTAGTATATCTGAAAGATAGTAATGCTGCGGCTGTTGACATTGACATAAGTTACGTAGTGATTCATCTACCTGCGCTTTCCAAGACTTACATTGAGAAACACATCTCTGAAGTTACATACATACATTCGTTAGTTGACTACTCACCATGGGGGCTTTTCAGGGCCAATTCCCACCAATCCTACCCCAGGGGAGGACATCCACTACACAGTAATCTCGTGCGTGGGAAATTAACGTCTTCTACCCCTAACCCTGCAGGAGACGGGGCCTACGGTTTATTCGTCCTTATCCGAGAAGACTAGAATATCTATCCATTTTTGATTATAGAAAGGTAGCAAATTCCTCTCACTTATTTTAAGACCATGAGTATCGGTCCGGCCGCGACCTCCCGCACAACGCAATCCGGCGCTCTAACCATTTGAGCTAACCGGAAGTTATATTCTCCGGAAGAGAAAGTATATTAAAACAGAGAAAATAGCGCGTGCACAAAAGAAAAATATTGCTTTTTGTTACACAATCTCATCCGGCATTGCCAAACTTCCAGAACATACACATGGGGAAATGACATCTTAAAACTAACCCTTATTATTACATTAGGAAGGAAAGTCATCAAGATATGTCCTAATACGAGCTTAATTCTTAGGCTGAAAATTTTAAATCGCTAGCGAATGGCAGGAGTTGCAGAGGCGAAATGAACACATCGCTCAACTGCCATTTGCTTTCCGCCTTACCAGTGTGTCGACTTACTCAAGGTAGATTGAGCAAGTGACTCCTTTTATTGCTCTAATTCGACTGTCCTTCATTCAATGATCAAGATAATAGATTTACCATAAAATACTCTCGACTAGTTAATTTGCCTTTACTTAGGAAAGTAGATTAACAACATGATTAAGTACAGATAAGAATGCCCTTGCAGTAGTAACACTGTGTAACGCAATACACTAATACAATGAATATATGTAGTTCATATATTTTGAACTGCGGTATTAGATACGAATGATGCACGATCCTCGCAGTAGAGAGCGCTAACTACGAAATAGCGAAAATCAGACCTGAAAAAAATCAGGCCTGTGCGGGATTCGAACCACTGACCTCTGCGATATTAGTGAAGCGCTCTACCAATTGAGCTAACAAGCCAACTGGGAGCAGGCCGTTAAGTTGATTCGTAATAAACCCGTGATGATAAATCAAATACAATGAATATATGAAGTTCATATATTTTGAACCGCGGTATTAGATACGTATGATGCACGATCCTCGCAGTAGAGAGCGCTATCTATGCAATAGCGCTATCTATGCAATACACTAAACACGACAATCATCGCGCAGTGCACTCTGGTTAAAAGATACAGTGCATTCTGGTAAAAAGTGATGAACTCGAGAATTCGCATCCCCCATATTCTTTTCCAATCCTGATTATGATGCTGCTCGCTCACTATGCTCATTGCGCAGCAAAAATCCACCTCAACTATAACCAAAAAATTAAACCAAACGAAAAAAATAATCAAACCGTTAAACAAAAACAACAGAGCCAGGTGTTAGTGAACTGTCTTTATTTTCATCGACGCGAACTTAAAGCAAATCAAGACTTATTCTTCCCATTATATTTTAGAAGTAGAACAAGCTGTCTTATCATGATTGGTCCTAAGTTCTCCATGCCTTTTTAAGTTGGGCATTCATCAAGACCTGTAGGGAAGAGAAAATTTAAACATGGCTTCTGATGATGGTCACCTTTTATCCTTTACACTATGAAATCAATATGTATATTGTCTATACAATTTGGAGCTGTAGACAGCAATCCTCTTTTTCTTATATTTTTCTATTCCACTCACCTTCATCAGGCCTTTGTTCATTCCATCATCTTCGTCAACCGCGAAACCTACGACGAATCCTAGGTCGAATGCGTACGCGTCTGGGCCGTCTGGGCCGTACACGCCCTCTGAACCGTCTACGCCCTCTGAACCGTCTACGCCGTGTGAGCCGGCGTCTAAAGCCAAAAGGGTCAGCTGACTTTTCTATTGCTCCTACGTCATCTTNTTTTTTTTATTTTCTTATATCATTACAAGATATTCCTTTGACCTGCCTGATATTGGGTCAAACTTTTCTTAACTTGATATAATTACATTGGAAATAAAATGAAAATAAAGACAAAAATACACGAGAAAAGAATAGAAGGAAAATGAAAGATTTTAATTATGAAGGAGAAAAAGTCCTAGATAGAGTTTCTAAGTTTCCAAACAATGCAAAACTGGTTGAGTTTGGTTCAAGTTAGCTGCATTGGCACATAAAGCTCCATATAGCAATCTTTAGTGTCCATAAAATCGCAAAGAGCCCTTTTCGTTTTGTTATATTTTTTTGAAGGATTTCAACCCCTAACCCTGCAGGAGACGGGGCCTACGGTTTATTCGTCCTTATCCGAGAAGACTAGAATATCTATCCATTTTTGATTATAGAAAGGTAGCAAATTCCTCTCACTTATTTTAAGACCATGAGTATCGGTCCGGCCGCGACCTCCCGCACAACGCAATCCGGCGCTCTAACCATTTGAGCTAACCGGAAGTTATATTCTCCGGAAGAGAAAGTATATTAAAACAGAGAAAATAGCGCGTGCACAAAAGAAAAATATTGCTTTTTGTTACACAATCTCATCCGGCATTGCCAAACTTCCAGAACATACACATGGGGAAATGACATCTTAAAACTAACCCTTATTATTACATTAGGAAGGAAAGTCATCAAGATATGTCCTAATACGAGCTTAATTCTTAGGCTGAAAATTTTAAATCGCTAGCGAATGGCAGGAGTTGCAGAGGCGAAATGAACACATCGCTCAACTGCCATTTGCTTTCCGCCTTACCAGTGTGTCGACTTACTCAAGGTAGATTGAGCAAGTGACTCCTTTTATTGCTCTAATTCGACTGTCCTTCATTCAATGATCAAGATAATAGATTTACCATAAAATACTCTCGACTAGTTAATTTGCCTTTACTTAGGAAAGTAGATTAACAACATGATTAAGTACAGATAAGAATGCCCTTGCAGTAGTAACACTGTGTAACGCAATACACTAATACAATGAATATATGTAGTTCATATATTTTGAACTGCGGTATTAGATACGAATGATGCACGATCCTCGCAGTAGAGAGCGCTAAATACGAAATAGCGAAAATCAGACCTGAAAAAAATCAGGCCTGTGCGGGATTCGAACCACTGACCTCTGCGATATTAGTGAAGCGCTCTACCAATTGAGCTAACAAGCCAACTGGGAGCAGGCCGTTAAGTTGATTCGTAATAAACCCGTGATGATAAATCAAATACAATGAATATATGAAGTTCATATATTTTGAACCGCGGTATTAGATACGTATGATGCACGATCCTCGCAGTAGAGAGCGCTATCTATGCAATAGCGCTATCTATGCAATACACTAAACACGACAATCATCGCGCAGTGCACTCTGGTTAAAAGATACAGTGCATTCTGGTAAAAAGTGATGAACTCGAGAATTCGCATCCCCCATATTCTTTTCCAATCCTGATTATGATGCTGCTCGCTCACTATGCTCATTGCGCAGCAAAAATCCACCTCAACTATAACCAAAAAATTAAACCAAACGAAAAAAATAATCAAACCGTTAAACAAAAACAACAGAGCCAGGTGTTAGTGAACTGTCTTTATTTTCATCGACGCGAACTTAAAGCAAATCAAGACTTATTCTTCCCATTATATTTTAGAAGTAGAACAAGCTGTCTTATCATGATTGGTCCTAAGTTCTCCATGCCTTTTTAAGTTGGGCATTCATCAAGACCTGTAGGGAAGAGAAAATTTAAACATGGCTTCTGATGATGGTCACCTTTTATCCTTTACACTATGAAATCAATATGTATATTGTCTATACAATTTGGAGCTGTAGACAGCAATCCTCTTTTTCTTATATTTTTCTATTCCACTCACCTTCATCAGGCCTTTGTTCATTCCATCATCTTCGTCAACCGCGAAACCTACGACGAATCCTAGGTCGAATGCGTACGCGTCTGGGCCGTCTGGGCCGTACACGCCCTCTGAACCGTCTACGCCCTCTGAACCGTCTACGCCGTGTGAGCCGGCGTCTAAAGCCAAAAGGGTCAGCTGACTTTTCTATTGCTCCTACGTCATCTTCGTCACTAACTTCGTCTCTATCATCATCATTGTCGAATGCTCCTTCGTCAAACTCCTCTTCTTCGTTTACCATATCGTTTTTACTTAGAGCAAGAAAAAATAACTGTATTTATTCATTTATTTGTTTATTTATTTTTCATATGTAGAGAGGCTGACTCGACTCAGCATTTAAGCTGGCTTAAATGGAGGCCTGATAAACATTAATAAAGCTACGTATGATGCACGATCTTCACAGTAGAGAGCGCTATTTTTTTTCAGGTCTGATTTTCGCTATTGCATAAATAGCGCTCTCTACTGCGAAGATCGTGCATCATACGTATCTAATACCGCAGTTCAAAATATATTAACTTTCATATCTTCATTGTATCTGAATTAACAAAGCTAGACCACAATATCATGCAGGAGAGGGAGCATACGGTTTAGTGCCGTCATCCAAGAAGTCTAACCATTTCCTCAAAGTACCTTCTGGACATTGCCTTATCATCGTCCTCTAGGTCTTCCTCATCGAACTCTCCGTCGTTCCCTGTTATGTATTCTTCACTGAAAACATTTAAAATACAAAGTAAAATCCTTGCCACTGCGACACAATTCAAAACTGCTAACATATTAAAAGAAAAAAACATTTTCAAAAGTCTAATCATAAGAAAGCAGTAAATAAGCTTAATTGTTCAAATGCAGCCGAGGATCGAGTTGCAGTGTTCTCATTGTTTCCATTCCACCACTTATAGTTATTTTTCTTTATCCAACTAACCCTCGAGGTTTTTCTGCTTCAAATTCATCTCCTATTTTGGCGAACTCATTTTCAGTTACTGCCAATGAAAAGCCCTCAACGAGTACAAGGCCAAAGAAAGCCAAAAAGATAAAGGTCTTCATTTTGACTTCTCAGTTGGAAGTTGCAATTGACTTCTCCAATGAAGAAAGCCCCCCAAAATCACTGCTTTTATGCATCCATTCTGGGTGATATCAAAATTTATATTTCGTTCAGATCCCTATATCCCCCAGTATCTGATCTTGGAATGCAAACCCTTAAAGATCTATAAAAAAATAGACTCAAGAGTACTCGTCTGTCGTATATTGATGTTATTAGACAAATTACGTAGTTTGAGATATTTACTCACTTAAATTCCAATTATTTTTAAAGCTTTCATTTTATTGGTAGAAACACGTGAAATTAAATGCTCGGCGATAACGAAAAGTAATGGTAATGAAAAACTAAAATGATTTACTCTAACATGTCCTACTTAGCTGGATAGTTATGCAATTTGTGCAGAAGGATTAAGCTGGATCAAGATTGTTTCAGTATGCCACTTATACATGATATTAAGATATTCACAGTCGTTCCTACTATTTTGTTTGTCACGATCCTCATTTCATCCAAAATCTGATCTTGGAAGGTTGACCCTCGAGAATCTGTAATAAATAGACTAAAATACGTTTGTTAAACTTAAAGATCTTGTATTGAGTCCGTTGTGCAATGATTTTAAAAGATAAACCATAAACAGTAGTTTGACAATATTAACAATCATATGGTTTTGAAGTAATATGGATTTTAAGAAAAAAAAGCACCCATTCTGCAATTGACGTTCTTGTACGTTAAACTATGTAACTTTAATATTAAGTTAAATGATTTCAAAACTCAGGGATTTTCTTTTATTCATCTGTGCAGCAGTTATACATGTTTTCTGTATGTATCGAAAGTAAAGGGCTCATTAAAGATTTTAGGAGTTTTTTTGTAATCACGAGTTATATGACAACACAATTAAACTAAAAATTGGGTGATGGAGTGTAAATTACTTGAAATAGAAAATATGTCTTGTTTCCTTGAGTATGCAATTTTCTCACTCACGTGTTTCTAACAAAGCAACGAAAATACCCAGTTCCTAGATTGATTGTTAGCTCAGTTGGTAAAGCACTGCACCGTTATCGCAGTGGTCATGGGTTCAAATTTCGTAGAAGCCTAATTTATTTTTTAGGCTTATTTTTGCTATTGCTCAAATAGTGTTCATAACTGCAATGATCCTCTTCGTTTATTCATATGCAGTTCAAATACATGATATATTCATATAATCACAGTCGTTCAGTATATCACTTAGATAACCAAAATACGACCATTCATTTGCGTACACATTATTCCTACCATCTGATAAGGAATTTCCAATACTTTATCAATTTGCAACATAAGAGAGCACAATATGTGGCTGTGTAATCAGCGACTCCTCGTGCTCTTCCCAAACTTTATTTACATCCAGCATCCGATTTTTGGGCCGTGCTCGAATCGCACTTTTTCCAAACTAATTATAGCTAGGGAAAATTAGGCCTTGTTTAGTGCGAGTTTAGATTTGTTGCCGTGAAACCTACTAACTGCGTGTTGAGATTCCAAATGTAATCTAACCGTTGGAAAATTGCTTCTAAATGTGGTAATGATATGAACATAGATGCGGCCATTTTGAAGAAAACTCAGTAGCCAGAATTAAGATTCATAATTCGGAAACTCATCACGACAGCGTGTACTTAAATAACTTCGGACTTTGAATTCATGTATAGTCTTTAAATTCTAATTATCAAAGAATGCGGACTGAGTCATACTGAACTAACTGAAACTGACTGACCAACTAAACTAAATAGCATCGCTTTTGTTGGATAATAATGTTTCCACCCCTCAAAATACCCATCAAAATACAGCGTACACCTAAATAACTTCGGAAGTTGAATTTATGTATAGTCTTCAAACTGTAATTATCAAAGAATGCGGAATAAGTCATATCGAACTGACTAACTAATCGAAACTGACTGACCAACCAAACTATATAAAATAGTTATGACAGTTTAAACGCAGGTTAAGTCCTTGAATTTCATGTTTACTTTTTAGAAGGGGAAGAGCAAATTCTTAGATGACTTCTGAACCGTGAAAGTGATTTTATCTTTGTCTCACAAACAGATAGATGAAATATTTCTTGATGTCATTCGCGAACTTTAAAACCACTGATTATATGGCAGGGTATATGCTAATTAAATCTAATTTAATGAAATAAATTGAAGTATTGCCATTTCCAAACAAAAAAAAGAAGAAATTCAACGAGTAAACGCTATAAAACTTTAAGTTTTTTACCGATGACATCTATACACAACAGAAGAATATTTACTAGGACGATTCACTTCGATTTTGATAACTCTTTAAGAACGTCAAGTGTATCTTTCAGCCATTCTATTTTTACACATTTTTGGCGGTAGACATTCCTTGATCAGATATTGGTTGACGTGGGGTTCTGAACCACTTGGGAAAACCATTTTTAACTGAAGGACTAAGACACTTAAATTGATAATTCTATTTGCTAGAATGATGTATTAAAGAGATGTTGAAAATGTATTGTAATTGATAATTGATTTGATATGCCACGAATTAATCCAATACAAGACTTATTGATGTCAATAGGTTACAGCTTGATACGGTTTATCATGCCGGATCACGTAGGCTAGGAACCTATAGCGCCGTTTGCGTATGTTTGCAAGCAAATGCCGTTTGGTTAAACGAATTTCCTGTTTTTTCTTTTTCCAAGTAAAAGATAAAAATGTCTTTTGTCTGTTCATGTTTTCTTGTTAAATAAAAAAGTTTGTTTAACATTCTTAATTAATTTGTGTGGAGGTGATAGTTTATCATACCCCAAACGAGACGATATTGTTTTTACTAGCTAAAAACTAATTATTTTCATCAAAAATCTCTAACCGCAATATTTTTCTTTTTTTTTTTCCGCTATGATATTTTTGACTCTAGGTGCCTTTTGATTGGTTCTTACCGGTGATATATTCAAGGAAAGTCGTGTAAATAACATCAGTGGCAATTTTTTTCTCTTTCTCTCTACAAACAGACACACACATATATATACATATATTAAGAAAGGAGCAGTGTTTGTTTAATAAAATGGCAGATCATGTCAAAAAGTTGTAAGTGTCACACTAGCTTTTCCACGACTTGCGTGCACCTTTTCTGCCCCAACCGCATTCGACGTTACGTGAGGAAACAGGAAATCTTAATTTAAACTTCTTAACTACCACGTAATACATATATCGAATCGCATAGCTTAAAGTAAACGCGCGCTCTGATTGGTCAATACGTCAACCGGAAGAGAGGGTACTTAGCGTGAAATCGCACTGACGCATAAAGCGATATCATAAAGCGATATCGCTGACGTGAGTCGCGAGCAAGAATTATTGTTACGAATGTAATTAACGTAAATACAACTAGTGCTACGAAAATATGAACAAATATGAAAAAATTTATAGAAAACGACTGTCTTCCAAGTTTTGAATTGAAATTGAAATTTTTAGAAAATTGGAGGAAACCACTCACGCTCTAAAGTACGAGAAAACGTATAGCAAAAAATCAAAATGCCAGAGACGAGGGAAGAAAGCCAAACGACAGTTCTCGCCGAGGAAAACCAAACAAACGTTACGAAAGAAAACCAAAACAGGTATCAATGCAGAAAAGGGTCGAGCATCTCTTCCCGAAATCCAAACCACTGTAGCCTATACAGACGACGAACTGGCCTCTTTTAGATACAACATGGTTTCAAAAAACACTAGACGGCAAATTCGCAAATTCGAGTGGTCGCAAAACTGTCATCCAAGCGCTCAGTGATGATTTCGACCCAGTGGAGATATCAGAGCTCACTGGCCTCTCCAATCCGGAATCCATATCCAGATACAGCCATAATCCTCTGGAAAAACAGCGGCGAATGTCGAATAAGTTCGCCGGTTTCAACCCACGGCAAGCACGACAACTACCTACGGCTATTCAAGTCATGCTTTACGGGAGATTGTTCTCAATAGGTCAGCCACGCCAAGCAACAGAGCAGCTGCTAGTGACCTTGACAGCAATGCCAGTCGTTCTAGTTACCTGATGGCAAGAGCAGTTGGCGGAATGTTTACTGGAGTAACTTTTAATAACTCTCCAGTAAATATTTCCATAAACTTTCAGTCCAGCATTGACACCAACGAGCGACTCCCTGCGATGAAAGAAAAACAGTTAAAATTGTGACTTTTGACTGAACTGTTTTTCGCCAGAGTTTACCAAGAAATTCCAGTCTTAATCATTATATTTTGAATACACTTTTTTTCACAACTGTAAAGCACTTACCGGTTTTTTGTAGATCTTGCTTTGATACCGGAACGCTTGAAATTTTCATTTCGCTTGAGGATTTGACCATTCAGTTGTTGATTGTCGGCGCCACGTTCTGCCAAGTTGAGTGGTAGCAGGCAAATCTCTGTCTTAAATAACTCCGTATTGTGTAATTTTAGTTTTTTTTAGGAAGATTGTAAAATGTGAGGCACCGCTTTCTCCACGACTTTGAAATAAAAGTGGTTTTCATTCTAAAAATATCTTGTTCCCTCTATTCGCTAGATATTGGCACCTGACTTTGAAAGGGTTTCCATCGTTTGCGCGCTGGCGTGGCGCACAAAAATACAAAACATCTGGTTTCGCGAAGTGATTTGGTGGCTTTAGCTATGTGATGCAAGAAAAATTCACGAGGTACAATTAAAATTGTCGACGGTTCAAACGTGAGCGACTTACCTTGCTTTCCATTCCCTTAACGATGACAGCTCTGACAGTTGACTTTAAAATGGCCTTCTTAAGGGCGCGTGTACGGAATAAAAACAAACAATAACGTTGTCGTTTTAATTTCTTGTTTTCTTATTTTTATTCTGTTATGCGATTCAAGAAAAATTCACTACCTGACTCGTGAATTCCACGTTAAATTTCACTTAAAAAAATCGATATCGCACTCATCGCTTCGCGATTCGTGCGATATCGGTTTTTCGCGTGAAATTTAACGTGGAATTCACTCGTCAGGCAGTGAATTTTGCTATACTATCAGACGTTTTGTTGTGTAGCATCGCGGAGTATTTTTGCGAGTTGTGCCGTATTTTGAAGAGCCTGTAGGGCGAGTCAAAATCCAAATAACGAGTAAAAGTACTAAGCGATACTAAACAACAAAACGTCTAATAAGTTATTTATTATCCAACACGCCAAACTGTAATTTCAGTGCGGGCGAATTTCGCGGATATTTATTTACTGGGAGTGCGTGACAGAAGTATGCGAAGCGGAACGGAATTGGCGCGTTGTCGTGTTGCTGTTTCTTTTTACTTCAATAAATGAAGACATTTCAAGGTCGTCTAGCTGTTTTTCTTCGTTCGATTAATCTAATAAACTTGGACGTATATTTGCCAGCCATTCTGACTCTTCGTCGTCAGAAATATGATTCAAATTGTCCGCCATTTTCTTTTTTTTTTTTTTTGTAATTCTTCGCTTGCGCGATGCGAGAAAACCTGTTTAACCGCTACTCTACAGTAGAAATACCGCGTGATATTTGTACTCGTCTATGGCGTTATTTGTACTCTACGAAGTGTATTTGGATAATAAATCCCTGATATTCGAAAAACATACATCCATGATGACGGAAAATATTTGCGGTTTAGAAGAGACGATGATACATTGCAGTGAGAACAAAGGGGGCCAACACAAGCGACGTGTCTGGTCGTTTGTTCGAAATATAAAGAAATGTATGGGAGAATATTGAAGAATCGTGACATCGTAAACTTATATCAAGGAATGTCTATGTTAAGGCACAAAATAAATGTAAACCTACCTCACTTCTGTGTATTGTCGTTTCTGTGGTACTAAATGGCAAATTTGAGCGAATTGGGAGATTTTGCGTTGAGCGTTACTTTATACTTTATACAGTAAACTAAGACTCAATGCAAAATCTACCAAATTTCAAATTTAACAATTTTCAAATTTACTGATAGAAACACGTGATTATAAATACTTGACGATAATGAAGTGTAATGATAATGAAAAGCCAAAATAATGTGAATTGTACTATAAATTCGACCATGTCCTACTTAGCTGGATAAGCAGTTATCCAATACGTGCACGAAGATTAAGATAGATCAAAATTGTTTAGGTATACCACTTATATATGATATTCAGATATTCACAGTCGTTCATTCAGTTTTTCGTCGCGATCCTCATTTCACCCGATATTTGATCCTGGAAAATTGGCCTTTTGTCAGAAATCTGTAAAAAGAAAATCGAAAGATTTCAGAATACATTTGTTGGACTTAAAGATATTGGGTCCATCATGTAATGATATTATCAGATAAACCATATAATTTGATTATACTTCAATCTTATGGTTCTGAATTTGAATGGATTTTGAGAAAAAAAAACACCCATTCTGCAATTTACCTCAACGTTAGTTTAACTATGCAGCTTTGATAAGTTAAATAATTTTGAAACGCATGTATTTTCTCTTATCTATCTTTTTAGCAGTGATAAATTGTTTTCTGTATGTATCAAAATTAAATGGCTTATACAACATTTGTTTTGTAAACTCGGGTTGTGCGGCAACGAATTTAAACTAACAATTGGGAGATGGAGTGTATCGCGGAGGTCATGGGTTCAAATTCCGTACAAACCTAAATTGTTTTTTTTTTTTTCAGGCATATTTTCGCTACCGCTTAAGGTGGCTCACAATAGTTTTAGGACTGGGTTCTAGCTGTGCGAATCACGCGCGTCACTCGCGGGATTTTAAAAAGCCATGGAGGAGGTAAGCAAACATGGCGGCGCGTAATTTTTTTTGCCGAACTCTATTCACGTCTAGTATTCAGGGTAAATCGCATTTTTACGAAACTTTTAGCCGCCAAAAGTGTATATTTGTACTATTAGCTAAAGAAAATATTGCTGGCCGATCGGCATATGTTGTGCCGAGAAGAAAATTTAATAGTTTTTATGTACGCGCTGC